AGATGTCCCCAATCCCCTTACACTCATGTGTCCCCAACTGTCCTTAGCATCTCTCCCAAATCTGCTCCTCCTCTGTGTCCTCATTTGAAAGGCAGCTGTCCTACCCATCCGGCAGGTCTCAGCCTGTGTGCCACCTCCTCCAGGAAGCCCTCCCTGACTCTGCGGGAGCCCTGAGCCTTGTCCTGCCCTCCCCCCATGTGTCCACTTGACCTCTTGAGGGTCTCTCCCATCCACCTCTTTTCTCTCCCATGGTCTCAACCTGAACTCTCTAGCAACCTCTTTCCCAGCCTCCACTCAACCCTTCCAACACCCCCTCCATGTGAGTTTCACTTGTCCTCCATCTCCACTCAAGAACTCTCCGTGGCCCCTCAGTGTCCTCAGGACAAAGTCTCGACTCCTCACTGTGGATCCCAGAGTCCTGACCAATCTTCCCCTAATGACTTGCCCTCGCCATCCTTTAGGTCCCAGCCATGTTTAATATCTTTCGGTTCCTTGAACTGAAACCACCAACCTTCCCACAACTTCTCCTCCTGCCTACCACACCTTTCTTTCCTCTTCATCTTGCTCACTCCCACCAGCTCGCGTACCACCTATTCCAGGAAGCCCCCCCTCACCCCCTAGTTGGTTCAGGTACTCCTTTTGGGCTCTGATGGTTCCCTGAGGTTCTCCATGCCAGCCCTGACCACTCTAGGCTCTCACTGCCTGGTGATGGATCTGTTTCTCCCATTGGACTGTGAAACCTGAGGACGGAGTTGGGCTGTCTCAGTCACTTCTATGACCCCATCACTACCCAGCACAGGGACAGTACACGGCAGTGCTCAGTGGCCACTTCATCTAGTTATTCAACTTGTATTTATTCAATGACTACTTGCTGACAAGCCCTGTCTAGAAACTGGAGATAGAGCACAGAAAAAAACAAAAAAGCAAAAGCAAATGAAAAACAAACCCCTGGTAAAGATGGCATTCTTCTGGGGGAGTGAGGCAACAGATAAATGAGTGAAACAAAGAATGCGCTTTGAAGAGGAAGAAAGCAGGAGAGGGGGATGGTGACATTATCATTGAAAATGGTGGCTATCTGAATTCAAAATAACAACATGTCTGGGGCAAAAAATGCATTATTATCCCTGTTTTTCAGATGCAAGGCAAGGCTCAGAGAAATCACTGCCCAGGCTGCAGAGCATTGGCTTGTTGGCCGGGAATTTGAACCCAGAGCTCAGTTCTGTTCCAGGACACTACACTGATGAATCATGCACACGGAGTAAGGCAAGGTCTTTTCCTTGCCGCCCTGAGGGAGCCCTGAGCCTGTGAAAGTGCAGGATGTGGGGTGAGGAAGTAGGTTCCTGATGTTTATTAAACCAGGCACTGATGGAAGCACTTCATACATTTAATTCTCACAACAGTCTTTGTTGTTGTTTTTTTAGCTCCACGTAACAGATAAGAGAAATAAAGACCCAGAGAGGTTAAGATGGCACAAAGGGACACAGCCAGGAAGCAGTGGAGCCAGAATTTGAACCCAAGCTCCTTCAGGGTCCAAGGGGTGGACAGCTGCCTCTCCTGTTGTTCATTATCTGCAGGTCTGAGTGCCACTTTAAGAAGAGGACTCTGGCTCTCCTTTCAACCACGCTGATCTTGCCAATCCAACCTTGGTAGTTTGCTGCTGCTTTGGGTCACATCATGTCACACCAAATGGTGTCCCTCTTCTCCTCCGAATCCTCCAGTGGCTCCTGCCCACCTCATGCCGAGTGAAGGTAAAGTTTTCTCCATGTTCCATGAGACCCCAGCTGATCTGCCCCCATCACTCCTCTGACCTCATCCCCTGGCCCTCTCCTCCCTCTCTGGCCTCCTTGCTACCTCTTAAATATCCCTAAACATTCCATGTTCCTCCCTCAGGACCTTTGCATCTGCTCTTCTCTCTGGCTAGAATGCTCTTCTCCCAGACAGCCATGTCACTCTCTCCCCTAAAGTGGGTCTCTGTTCAAACATCACTGTCTCAATAAACCTTTTCTGAGCACCTTATTTAAAAACTACAACCTTGCCCGGCCAGTGTGGCTCAGTGGTTGAGTGTTGACCCATGTACCAAGAGGTCACCAGTTTGATTCCAGGTCAGGGCAATGCCCAGGTTGTGGGTCCGATCCCTGGTGGGGGACATGCAGGAGGTGGCCAATCGATGTTCTCTCTCATTGATGTTTCTAGCTCTCCCTACTTCTCCCTTCCTCTCTCTCTAAAATCAATTTTAAAAAAAATGAAAAACTCGCCATGGCTGGTTTGGCTCAGCGGTTAGAGCATCAGCCTGCAGTCCAGAGCGACCCGGGTTCAGTTCCCACTAAGGGCGTGAAACTCAGTTGCAGTTTATCCCCAGCCCTGGTTGGTCATGTGGGTGGCAGCCACTCGATGTGTCCCTTTCACGTCGAAGTTTCTCTCTCTCTCTTCTTCTCTCTCCCTCTCTCCCACTCTATCTGAACAAAAAATGGAAAAATGTCCTCGGTTGAGGATAAAAAAAAAAAGAAAAACTATAACCTTTTCAAACAACAAGTGCTGGCGAGGGTGTGGAGAAAAGGGGACTCTAGTACACTGCTGGTGGGAATACAGACTGGTGCAACCACTATGGAAAACACTATGATGTTATCTCAAAAAATTAAAAATTGAATTGCCATTTGACCCAGTGATCCCACTTCCAGGAATATACCCTAAGAAGCCTGAAACATCAATCAGAAAGAATATACGTACCCCCATGTTCATAGCAGCACTATTTACAATAGCTAAGATCTGAAAACATCCCAAGTGTCCATCAGTAGACGAATGGATAAAAAAGCTGTGGTACATATACACAATGGAGCACTATGCAGCTGTAAGAAAGAAAGATCTCTTATCCTTTGAGACAACATGGAGGGACCCAGAGAGTATTATCCTAAGCGAAATAAGCCAAGCAGAGAAAGACAAATAATACATGATTTCACTTATTTGTGGAATATAATGAACATAACAGTCTGAGGAACAGGGTAGGCCCAGAGACGTGGAAGTAGGTACAGACTGACAACCCTCAGAAGTGGGGGTGGGGGGGAGGGAAGAGATAAACCACAGAACTTATATGCATGGACGCATAACTGATGGACATGGACAACAAGGTGGGGGTGGGGTGGGGGGATGGGGAGGAGGGTGTCAATGGGGAAAAAAGCAGAAACATCTGTAACAAAAATTACATTAAAAAAACCCCAAAACACTACAACCTTTATTGTGTAGTCCCCATCCCCCTCCTAACACATCCTATAATCTACTTATCTGTTTGCTAATTGCCTTTTCCCTGCTAGACTGTAAACCCCATGGGGCTAGGGATCTCTGGGTTTGTTCACTGATGTGTCCCCAGTGCCAGCACAGGGCTGGGAATGTACAACATGCTTTCTAAATAGTTGCTGAGTGAATAACTTATTTTTCATTTCCATGTTGTAGGTGCAGCAACTGAGGCACAGGCACACTAAGCCACCTGCCCAAGGTTGTGCAACTATTTAAGTACTAAGTGCTAGAATCAAGATTGGAACCAGGGTGTTCCAGTCCCCAGGGACACACTGCTAACCACTGTCCTACACTGCCTCCCACAGGCAAGCTGACTAAATAAGTATCTTATTCCACTTGTGGATTCAGGGTTGCTGAGGTTTGACTGACATGTGGTGGGACCTGCCTCATCTCCCTGTACCCTCAATTCTAAAAGTCAAGAGAGGTCTGGGTCTAAGCTACCTGTAGTCTCCACACACCCCCCCCCTCCAACCAAGCCCTCCTCAACTCAGACCACAGCACCAGCCAAATGCTCTCATTTTTTTGGATGGCGCTCACTCAATCCAACAAGGTAAAGAGATAAGGATTAACTATTTACATGAGTAAGGTTCGTGATGGCTGATGGGCCACCCCCTCAAGGGTGGTGAATTGGCAAATGTGAGGACAATATGGAGATCGTGATGTGGGGTGGCTGCCATGGCAGTGGGTACCGTGCATGATACATGGAGTGTGACTGATGCCACAACATGATGAAGGAGGTCGGGGAGGGAGAAAGCAACAATGAGGAGGTGATGAAGGTGACTGGATGAGGGTGAGAGCAACATGGTTAATAACAATATTAGCCCAAACTGCCATGTCAAGCTGGACATCACACAAGAACAAACTGGCAGAATCCTCACGATCATCCCTGATTAGGTGTCCTGTGTGTGCATTTCACAGATGAGGAAGTTTAGATGGCAAAGGTGGGATTAAGTAGCCAAGGTTACCCAGAGGTTTAGTGGTGGAGCTGGGATTCTGGCACACCCCAGGTGGTGGGCTCTACCCCATACAGTGGTATGTGAATGGTGATACGGGCAAATGATGGAAATGTGGAGGAAAAAAAAAAATCTGTAAGCAGGGTGGCTCCTTATCCGGGAAACTAGAAGCATGAGGCATGGACAGTGACAGCTGGAGGGGCAAACTTGACACGGGAGAGATGGTGACATAAGGCGATGGTGACTTAAAAGGGGGCAATTGCGAGCTACGGTGGCAATGGGGGCAGAGAGGGGACAAAAGCGAGTTGAGGGGGTTGAGGGCGACAGGAGAGTGATAGCGACGGAAGGAGAATGGTGATTTAAGCGGGATGCGACGTGAAGGGAGGAATGGTGACATAAAGGGACCAAAAACAACATAAGGGTGGAGATGCACTGTAGACGCGAGGTGACAACACCAGGAGGGCAGCCGAGGCGCTGCGCCCCTAGATCGCACAGTACCTGAACTCTACGTCTCCCACTCCCGGACCCAGCCCCGCACGCACCTTCTGTACGGGAGCTGGGCCCGACCACCCGCTGTGCGCAGACGCACTCCCACTGGACTGCGGACCAGCGAGGGCTGGGCTTGAGCGTTTCTGATTGGCCATGCACCTGGAAGACTGTGAGAGATCACGTGACGACTGCCGCTTCACTCTCATTAGTGGCGGCCCGGAAGGCTAGAGCGGCTGCGGGCGGCTCAGTCCGGCTTCCGGCGGCGGGGGCGGTGCTTCCGGGACGGACCTCCAGGCCGAGGGAGGGGGGTGTCTGACAGTTGGTTCCGCCCAGAGGGCGGGCAGGCGGCACGAGTGGGCGCGGGCCCAGAGGGCCAGGTGAGGCGCGGGCCGGGCGAGGTGGGACTGGGCCGGAAACGGTGGGGATGGATGGTGTCTAGGGCCCCGGAATCAGTTCCGGCGCTGCTGTGCGGCCCCGGACGAGCGACTTCTTTCTCTGAACCTCAGTTTCTTCCTCTGTAGAGTGGGGGGTCAGAATCCGCCTATAGCTTTCTTCTCATGGTTTGGAATGAGAAGTCAGCTCGTGCATGTCGGAGCCCCTGGCTCAGCGCCTGGCAGAGTGCTCACTCGTTGTTATACTAGTATTGTTAGTATTGGTGATGATGTTTGTGCTTGGCGGGGAAGCTCTGGGTGTGGGAACGTGAAAGATTGTTGGGCTTGGAAGCCAACAGATTTCAGTCCAAGTCTCAGCTCCACTTTTTGGCAGTGGACCTGTGCCTACACCTCTCTGAACCTTATTTGCTTAATTTATACAATGAAGGCTGACCGTCCCAAAATCATAGGGTCCTTGTGAGGATGCTGATGAAATAATGCGTGTAAATCTTTAGCACAGGGCCTGGGACGATACTGAGTAGGAGCTCAATAGACTGGAACTATCATAATGATGATTTTGAGAGTCATTGGTGTAGCTGGGAGTTCCAAGAAAGTAGAGGGAGGGAGGAAACTCAAAGATAGCAATAGGAAAAACTTGGAATCTGGAGTCAGGGATATCAACATACTGCCACTTAATATTTGGCCAATTTTTCAACTCCGATGATTTTTTTTCTTTTCTTTAAAACTACTGATGCAGCCCTGACCGGTTTGGCTCAGCAGTTGGAGCATCGGACTGCTGACCAGAGTCGCAGGTTCAATTCCGGCCAAGGGCACGTACCTCAGTTGCAGTTTGTCCCCGGCCCTGGTCAGTCGTGCAGGAGGCACCCAGTCGATGTGCCTCTTCCACATCGATGTTTCTCTCTCTCTCTCTCTCCTTCTCATTCCCCCTCTATCTGAAGATAGGTGGAAAAATATCCTGGGGTGAAGATTCAAAAAACTTCTGATGCATCTTTCTCCAGTCAGTTAATTTGAGAAGGAAAAAAAATTATTTGCTATCCTAATGCCTGACTGGCCATGAGACGGAACACTTAACCAGAAATATAATGAAAGCAGAATAGCCTATTAAATTGTAACGTGATACTGTGATTCCGTGTTGTCAGTACCATGGACCCCATCAAGTCACCTTATACTTTGTTTCCACCTCACACTTTGCATATGACTGACAAGTCAGTGACTGCCCTACCCTTTCCCTAGCTCACTGAAGATTTATTTATTTTATTTAATGCACACATATCACCTTCCAAGCATTATACTAAGGGTTTGGCATTTATGAACTCATTTACTCCCTCTAACCACGTAAGAATACATACTTTTATCATTCTTATTTTATAACTGAGGGACGTGAAACCCAGAAAGGTTGAGCCCCTTGCCCCAGAGTCAGGGTTAGGAAGTGGTAAGTTGTAATTTGGATCCAGGCCTTCTAAGGACTTAGCACAGGGCATCTGGTATGTGGTAATTACTTGAGTTTTGGGAGTGGTCATTTTTCCATAATTATTGTTATAATTTTCACCAGTCAGAAAGTCAGCGCTGGAGATGGGCTTTTAATGGTGGAGAGAAGAGGAAACTGAGTCCAGCAGGGAATTCTGCAGCTGTAGAAGGATACCAGTACTTAAATACTTTTGGTAAGCATTTACTGAAACCTTGCAAAGACAGATCTCGGTGCCTGGCTCCTAGTAATACCTTGACCAGTGTTAATTGTAGCCATTCAGCTGACTCGGGTTCAAGTCCTGGCCCTGTAGTTAATTACAGTGTGACCTTGGGCCTGCCACTCTCATCTGTAACATGGGATCATTTTACTTTCTTCCCCTTGGTTGTGAAGAATCACTGAGGTATGTACATACACAGTGTCTGGCATGTGAACATTCGATAGGAGCTGTTGCATGGGCACTGGAATCGGGGAGAACTTATCTTTGAATTTCAGTAAAGCCACTTGCTAAATGGACAGTTGGCAAATGACTGCATCTTGATGAGCTGTTTTTTATTATTGATTAAAATGGGGCTAGTACTAGTTTTCACTCACAAGGAGGTTGTGAGCATCAGTATGATGCCTGGCTCTGGTACTGGTGTATAGTTAGGGCTTAGTATGTGAGATGCTCTGTCTGACTTACTGAAGCCTCTCCATGCCCTGCCCTTGGAAAGACGCAGTTATGTCATCTTTGTCCAGCAGTAAAATCCAGTAGGGAAAGTGAATCTTAGAGAGTCAAGTACAAGGAGTGATATCTGTGGTCATGTTCATCCATCAGGGATGTAGCAGGAGCTGGGGAAAGGCAGGATGAATCCTAGCAGGGGGCAGAGGAGAGACTCTCACATGTGGGGACTTGGGGGAAGTTTCACAAAGCAGGCGGCAGCTAAGCAATGTGAAGAAGGGCTTGCCAGGAGGATAGGAGGAGATAAGCATTCCAGGCACAAGTGACATTCTGTATGAAAACCGAGAGGTAGGCAAAGCCCCTGGGTGTTAGAGGGAAGGCTGAGCTGGGAGGCCTGGGGGATAAGAATAGCCACCCTTGTAGAGTACTTGGTATGCACCAGACAGTGTCTCGGGTGCTTTGTACATAGAAACTCATTTTCCCTCACAGCATTTGTCTAAGGTAAGTAACGTTTGTACTATCCCAGTTTACAGATGGGGACACTGAGGCCCGACTGGTGAAGTAATTTGCCAAGGTCACACAGCTAGTAAGTGGCGGAGCCAGATTTGAACCTTGTGGTCTGGTTCCAGAGTCCTTACTCTTATACTGTTTCTGTTATACCATCAAAATGGGGTGGGGGTAGATTGTGTGTGCTGAACAGAGAGCCTTCTGCACCCCATAGAGGAAGTGGAGGAGGAAAGAGGGCAAAGGATCCGAATCAGGGGCTCGGTGGCAGGGAACAGAGTCTCAGGATGAAGGCAGAGGAAATGCAGACAGCAGGGTAAGAGAAGAGGATGAGGACTAAGTGAGAAGTTTGGGCCAGGACAGTATGGGAAGGGTGGTCCTGGAGTCAGATAGCATTGAATCATCAGGAGAGAAAGTTACTTTCTTTAGTTTCCTTTCGGTGCTGCTATTAATATCCAGGAGAACATCTTCATTGGTGCCAGTATGTCTTTGACATCTTTCTAGCACCTGCTAATCTTATCAGTGAAAATTGGTTTTTCATGTCTTCTCTGAGGCCCTTCATGACTCGGTGCCCCCCACCCCCTTGTCGCCTCTCACTCTCCTCCTCGCTCACTCCACTGCAGCCAGGCTGGCTCCTGCTATCCCTCAGACATGCCAGATGAGCTTCTGGCTCGGCACTGGACTTGCTGTACTTTGTGCTGTAACACTCTTCTTCTGTAAAACCACATGGCTCACTCCTCTACCTCCGCTGGGTCTCTGAATGTCACTTTAGAGTGGTCTTCCCTGATCACCCCACTTAGGATTGCAGCCTCTTCCATCCCAGGCCCTGCGTGTTTTCTCCATGATATTAAGGCTTTCTGACACTACATCATTAACTTCTGCTGTTTCCTCTCCTTTCCCCTTTCCTCACCTAGATGCCAGGCTCTGTGTTTTTGTTCACCTCAGTATCCCTGGCTCTTAGAACAGTGCTTCACACATAGTAGGTGTTCAGTAAACCGTTTTTGAATGAATGAGTATCAATGGTTAAAGTCTTGGGCAGAGGATGTCTTTTTCTGTCCCTCTCTTATCCCAGCTAGGACCTTCTGAGGTGTGTAGGAATGGAGCTGTGGACATTTGCTGTCCCTGGGCCTTGTCCCAGGCAGAAGTGATAGATGTTGTGGCAGCTCTGTCCCAGGCTGACTTCCTGCCAGCTGCTACAGGCTATTCCTGGGCTCTGAGCCCCCATTCCAGGAACTCTCCTCTGGCAGGCAGCTAGACAGGCAGCGAGAGAGGGACGTACACTCCCAGCCGGTGGCGACTTATGAGCCCTCTCCCCATGTTCTCTCTTCCAGGCTCCAGGGAGCAGCATCAGAGCCAGGGCAACAATGGTCTCCGTGACTATGGGTAAGTCTGTGGCCTTCTCTCCGGGGTCCCCTCTTCCCACTGCCCTTTTTGAGGTATGACCTTGTTTGAGGAAGACGAGGTGGGGGAGGGAGGGAAGGCCGGTCACAGGCAGGGACAGCTGTACTCTGAAAAACGTGGTGGTGGGGCTGGGCCTGCTCAATGCCTACCGGCTTCCTCTCTGTCTCTTGGCCTCCTGACAGCCTTGTCTAGCCATATAGAACTTGGGTGTTGGCCAGCCCGTGTGGCTCAGTGGACTCAGCGTCGTCCCATGGACTGAGAGGTCCTAGTTTGATTCTCGGTTCGATTCCCCGTCAGAGCACATGCTTGGGTTGTGGGCTGGATTCTCAGTAGGGAGCGTGCAGGAGGCAGTTGATCGATGTTTCTCACATCTGTGTTTCTATCTCTCTCTCCCTTCCTCTCTCTCTAAAAAAAAAAAAATCAATAAAAATATATTTAAGAAAAAGAACTTAGGTATTGAGTCTAGCAGATCTCCCACATGGCCTCTCCGAGCCTGTTTTCTCACCTGTAAAATGAAGATACTAATACTTCCTAGATCCTGTGATGCTATAAGTATTGAGGAGATTATTGCATGTGAAATCCTGGGCACCCAATATGTGACCATTTTTTCCCCTTGAGCTTGATTGATATGCACAATTATCTGCTTAAAGGATACAATTTAGTGGCTTTTATATTTTATATTCACAGAGTTGTGCAGCCATCACCACGATTGATTTCAAAATGTTTTCATCTTCCCGCAAAAACCCAAAGCCCATTAGCAGTCCACCTCCAGCCCCTGGCAACCACTACTCTATTTCTGCTTCTGTGGCTCTCTGTAGATTTACCTGTTCTGGACATGTCATAGACATGGAATCATTACATGGTGCTTTTCGATGCTTAGAAAAAGGTGCCTGCTTTTGGCTGTTGGAAGCCAGGGCACCCTGTCTAAACAGGAACCTAGAGCCTGTGCAGAATAGAAGAAGGTACCCCTTTCCTCTGGGCATGAACCCACCTTTGTCAGTTAGAGATACGACCTGTGGCCTGGTGGGCAGGGGCCTCCTTGGGAAAGGTGTGGCCCTAGGCGTGTGCCCGAGCCCTGCACTGCCACCTACAAAACATCTGACCAGAGTGTGTCTCTTTCCCTGCACTGAGCCTCAGTTGTTTCAAGTAAAATGGGCTCAGCAATACCACACTTGTTCTAAACTAGCATTGCCTGGCCAGTGTGGCTCAGTGGGTTGGAATGTCATCCTGGGCACTGAAGGGTTACTGGTTTGATTTCCAGTGAGAATAAGTAAATAAACAAATTAGCATGGAATGTTGAATGTAATATTAGGTACCACGAGGAAGAAAAAGAATGTTGCTAATTAAACTGTGGCACACCTCAGCTGTGAGGTAGATCCTGGCTTTGGATATATTAAAATGTGAGAAAAAAGTTCTACTTGAAATCAGTGATCTTATTTAACACCTGGCCTGATAGGTCAGGGTCAGTTTGGAGGTCACACCCAAGAGGACAAGAAAAAAGTTTAGAAACAATAAAGCTACGTGGGTGTGGTCTGCCTGGTCTTGGCCTTGTCTCCATGTGTAGTGATGGAGGAATAGTAATAGTAATAATAATGATGATGATGATGATGATGATGACGATGATGATAATACTGGCTACAATGGGTTGAGGATGTCCTCTCGGCCAGGCTTAAATATAAAGCCTTTACAGGGACTTTCTCGTTGAGTCTGCATAGTGACCCAGGAACATTGGTGCTGTTAGCTCTAGGATGTCAGCTCCATGAAGGAAGGGACTTGGTCTTGTGCCCTGTGGTATCCCGAGTGCCCTGGGACAGGACCTGGACTGTGTCAAGGTTCTCAGTGCATACTTATTAATATATTTTTATTTATCTAATTTTCGGAGAGAGAGAGAGAAACATCGATTGGCTGCCTTCTGCACGCCCCCTACTGGGGATCGAGACCGCAACACGGGCATGTGTCCTGACCTGGGAATCGAACCTGGACCTCTCAGTCCATGGGACGATGCTCAATCCACTGAGCCACACCAGCCGGGCTCAGTGCTTACTTACTGAATGTATTACCCCAAATTGACAGATGAGGAAGCTGAAGCACCAGGTGTTAACTTGCCCAAAGTCCCTCAGCTGGGAAATGGCAGAGCCAGGGTTTGAGCCCAAGCTCCACAGGCTGTGCTTGTAACCTCTATGCTTCACTGTGAGCAGGGCTATTCCTGGTGAGGTAGAGGCTTGCTGACCCCATGGGCCAGCTGCAGATCCTGTCACCCTCAGGGACTGGGCTCCCTGATGGGGACTGGGGCAGAGAACCCAGAGTCTCGGCTCCCCCAAATCAGTCATTGGCCAAGCATGGGGGGTGTGATCACTGTGGGTCATGCTCCAGGACAGGGCAGAGCTATAGGGAGAAGGATATTATAGGAATACATGGGCTAGGGAACTCTGCTTCTTGTTAGTGTGGCCAGGGGCGAGGTGCCCACCCTCTCCCTGCCTCAGTTTCTCCATTGGCAGCATGAGGGAGTCAGTGGTGCTTAACTCTGAGTTGTCAGGCAGGCTTAATTTCATCGTATGTGTAAAGCACTGAGCCCAGGGCCTGGCATTTGATAAACATTTAATCTGTGGGAGCCGTTGCTGTTGTGGTTTTGCTGCGGCTGTTCTCTAAAGAGAATGATGTGAGTAATGAGCCCTGTCCTGCCCCGCCAGCCACTTCCGAGTGGATCCAGTTCTTCAAGGAAGCAGGCATTCCTCCGGGACCTGCTGTCAATTATGCCGTGATGTTTGTGGATAATAGGTAAGTGGCACCGAGGGGACAGAGCTGAACTGGGGGAGAGGAAGGAAGAGGTGGGGGGAAACAGGGGGCTGGCTGGCCCACCACCCTGGCCCACCTGTGGCCTCAGTGCTGCCCCTCCCCTACAGGATCCAGAAGAGCATGCTGCTGGATCTCAACAAGGAAATCATGAATGAGCTGGGCGTGACTGTGGTGGGTGACATCATCGCCATCCTCAAGCATGCCAAGGTGGTGCACCGCCAGGTGGGTGCCGTGTGCCATCCCTCTGTTCCTGGGTTTAGGGTGGGGTGGAGGGGCAGTAGCAGAGCTGACAAGAGGCTTGGAAACAAAGGCAGGCAGCCCTGGGTTCCAAGGCTGGTTTTACATTTGCTGTGTGACATTGGGCACATTGCCTAATCTCTCTGAGCCTTACTTTGTCCATCTGTAGTATTCACATAGGCAAGTGTATTTTGTAGGGTAATTGTAAGGATTACATTCTATAAAGCCTTAGTACAGTGTAAATAGCGCTTCAGTAAAGGCTCTCTGTAATTATTATTATTATTACTAGTTCTCATCTTACTAATATAACTATCATTACCAGGATTCTTCTCTGTCTCTAGGACAGGAACTTCTTATGTGGGACCCAGCTGGTGGCTTGACCAACAATTTGGTTGTTCCATTATTGGCCCCTCTGGTTACAGTGTCCTTAGACTAGTGATTTCACCTCCCTGAGTCTCTCTGAAACAGGCTTTTCACACACTTCTGCTACATAGGGTGGCTGTGGCTATCTACTGAACAGTGTATATGGCAAGCCCCCCCACACACACACCTGGAGTGAAGTGCTTGTTAAGTTACCATGGCTACCTTACAAAGTGCTTGCCTTGGCCTGCCAGGCTGTCTCCGCCCCCTATATATATTCACTCATTTGCTCCTCCCTCCACTTGACCAAGAAGGAAACTTGCTTCAGAGCTGCGCTCAAGCACTTCACTTTGCCACAGGGGGCCACTGGGTTATTCTCATTTCCAGTAGCTCCCTCCATCCCAGAGACAGCCCTCATAGTTCCATCACCTAGGACAGGACCCCACAGTGAGGCCTTTCTCAAGCCAGGGACATTACCTGCGTTATTACGGAGATGGTCACGGAGCAAAACTTCTTTTTTTCTTTAAACTTTTAAATTTGGGAATAATTCTCAATTTATAGGAAGATTCCAACAATAGTACAGAAAGTTTCTGGCCCTGGCCAGTTTGGCTCAGCGGTTAGAGCATCAGCCTGCGGTCCGGAGAGACCCGGGTTCGGTTCCCGCTAAGGGCACGTACTTCGGTTGCAGTTTGTCCCCGGCCCTGGTTGGTCGTGCGGGTGGCAGCCACTCGATGTGTCCCTTCACGTCGATGTTTCTCTCTCTCTCTCCCTCCCACTCTATCTGTACAAAAAATGGAAAAATATCCTCGGGTGAGGATTAAAAAAAAAAAAAAAAAAAAAAAAAAAGAAAGTTTCTGTGTCCTCACTCAGCTTCCCCTAATGTTAACATCTTATGTAGTGATGGTACATTTGTCAAACTAAGAAATGAGCTCTGCCCTGGCCAGTTTGGCTCAGCGGTTACAGCGTCGGCCTGCGGTCCGGAGAGACCCGGGTTCGGTTCCCGCTAGGGGCGCGTACCTCGGTTGCAGTTTGTCCCCGGCCCTGGTTGGTTGTGCGGGTGGCGGCCGCTCGATGTGTCCCTTCACGTCGATGTTTCTCTCTCTCTCTCTCCCTTCCTCTCTCTCCCTCCCACTCTATCTGTACAAAAAAATGGAAAAATATCCTCGGGTGAGGATAAAAAAAAAACAAAACCTGAAAATCAACACTGGTAAAAAAAAAAAAAAAAAATAGAAATGAGCTCTGGCCAGTTTGGCTCAGTGGTTAGAGTGTTGGCCTGTGGACTGAAGGGTTACGGGTTCGATTCCCAGTCAAGGGCATGTACCTGGGTTGTAGGTTTGCTCGCCGGAACCAGTTGGGGTCGTGCAGAAGGCAACAAATCAATGTGTCTCTTTCACATCAATGTTTCTCTCTCTCTCTCTCCCCATCTCTCCCTTCCACTCTAATTTAAAAAATAAAATAATCAATGGAAAAATATTTTTGGGTGAGAATTAACAACAACAAAAAAAATGAGCAAAACTAAAAAATGAACAGTGGTATACTATCATTAGCTAAGCTACAGACTATTTGGATTTCATCCGTTTTTCCTTTAATGTCCTTTTTCTGTTCCAGATGCCTCACTGCATTGACTTATATCTCCTTTGTCTCTGTCTCTCTCTCTTTTTTTAATTTTAGAGAGGAAGGGGGAGAGAGAGAGAAACATCGATTTGTTGTTTCACTTATTTATACATTCATTGTGTTGATTCCTTTTTTTTGGTGGTATGTGTCCCCTAGCGGGAACTGAACCTGGGAGTCTCTGGTCTGCAGGCTGATGCTCAGCCGCTGAGCCAAACAGGCCAGGGCATTGTGTTGATTCTTGTATGTGTCCTGACTAGAGATTGAACCCGTAACTTTGGCATATTGGGATGATGCTCTAACGAACTGAGCTACCCAGCCAGGGCTAAATATATTTTTTGATTACAGTTGACGCACAATATAATTTTAGTTTCAGGTGTCAACATAGTGATTTGACATAACCTAGACAGTTTTGAAGAGCTAGGTGTTTTGTAGACTGTCCCTCATTTAGGGACATCTGATGCTTTCTCCTGGTTAGGAGTGAAATGTCTTGAAATCTTTTCTCTAGCAGCTCTGATACCCCTAGTTTTGCTTAGATTTCTGGGTCCTCTATTCCCGCACCTTATATCCCTGACCCTGTGGTAACCCAGGCACCTGTTTTTTTTTTACAGGACATGTGCAAAGCTGCCACGGAGTTGGTGCCCTGCAGCCCTAGCCCCCTCCCAGGCGAGATTCGCCGAGGCACCTCTAGTGGTGAGTCCCACCTGCTCAGGTCTCCTTTCCTTCCTTCTTATAGTCCAGCAAGAAGGAAGCACATCTGGAGTCTGCAGAGGTGGCAGAAAAGATGTGTGAGGCCCTCTTCTCTTAGGGAAAAGTACACTGGGTAATGAGGGGCTCGTGGGAGTTCTGTCCTGTAAAGTCACCGAGAACCCCGAATTAGTGAATACTGAATCATGTTCCTCGGGGAGATACAGGGTAAGGTTCCTGCAAACCTCTGATCATGATGTTTTTTTGTCAGCTGATCAATACAGAACCTTTTATGTGTGTTTCCGTTTAAAGACACCTTATTTAGTATACATTGTTGACTCATTAACATTGAACTTATGGGCAGTAGCACTGTAACTCCTTCCTGAACGGAGCTAGTCTCACACATGTATTTTTCCATAAGGCACATGCATCACTTAGGATCATAGATGGCACTTCACTACTATGCTCAGGGGCCATTTTATTTATTTATTTTCAAATCCTCACCCAAGGATACTTTTTTCTATTGTTATCTTCAGTTGGAATGGGAGAGAGTGAGAGAAACATTGACGTGAGAGAGACACGTCGATTGGTTGCCTCTTGCATGACCCCGACCAGGGCCAGTGACTAAACCGCAACCGAGGAATGTGCCCTTGACTAGACTTGAACCCGTGACTCATTGGTCCATGGGCCGATGCTCTACCGCTGAGCCAAACCAGCCAGGGCCTTAGGGGCCATTTTAAACAGAGCAATCATAGACCAGGAGAAGGACACTTGTTTACTGTATGAGAACTAAAACAAGAACGCACCATGTGGACCGTGTGGCCTGTTTGACCTCATCTGGGAGCATGGGTGTTGACCGACTCAAGTTTTTTGCCATTCTGCGCATGTCTGTGAATGACCACAAAAGCACCATAAGTATTGGTTTGAAGGTTACAAATGAATTTTAGTGAAAAGGTGAATTTGAAAATATGGAGTCTGTGAATGGTGAGAACTGACTATACTTTTGTTTTTTCAGCAATATGATACATTTAAAAAAAATACTAAAAAATTTACCATACCTATTTGTTAACCTTTGCTACTTAGCAAGCCACCCCAGAACTGATTTAAAGCACAGACTTTTATTTCTCATGGTTTTATGACTTGGCTGGTCATTTCTGCTTTGGGCCGGCTCAGCTGGTGTCGGTGATCACCAGACAGCTGTGTTGAGGCTGGGTGATCTAGGAGACCTCACTCACACATCTGTTGGTTGGCTTGATGTCATCTGGACCAACAGAGCAACTTGGGCACATGCCTCTCATTTTCTAGCAGACTAACCCAGGCTCGTTCACACAATGGTGGTTGCAGGGCTCCCCAAAGCAACATAAGAGGGCAGGCCCCATTCCTCAAATCACATGTAAGCCTCTGCTTGTATAACACTTTCTCTTGTCCCATTGGCCAGAGTCAGTCATATGACTCAGCCCAGCATCACTGTGGACAGGGCCTACCCGAAGGCATGGTCAAGGGAGGCTGAACACATTGACGTTCATTTCTGTAAACATCTCCCACAATTTACATACAGAAAAGCTTTCATATTAGAACAGTACAGCTAAGTGACTTCACAGACAGGAGACCATGTGGGCAGCAGCGTCCAAATCCAAAAACAAGTGTGGCAGCATCTCCACACATCTCAGGTACCCACCACCCTGATTTCTAGCAGCATAGGTTAGTTTTGCTAGTCTTTCAAGTCTGTATAAACGAAAGTAGGTAGTATGGACTTTTCTTTTTTTTTTTTTTTTTTTTTTTTTTTTTATCCTCACCCAAGGACATTTTTTCATTTTTTGTTCAGGTAGAGTGGGAGGGAGAGAGAGGAACAGAGAAAGAGAGAGAAACATCGATGTGAAAGGAACACATCGAGTGGCTGCCACCCGCACAACCGACCAGGGCCGGGGACAAATTGCAACCAAGGTACGTGCCCTTAGCGGGAACCGAACCCGGGTCCCTCAGGACCGCAGGCCGACGCTCTAACCGCTGAGCCAAACCGGCCAGGGCGGTAGTATGGACTTTTCGTATCATTCTGAATGTCTTAAATAGATTTAAATAAAATTTAAAACATAAACAAAACCACTAGTGGAGAAAATGGACAATTAAATAGAAAAGGGAAGCAGGCAAAAAGGAAAGGGGAACAACATCCCCGATAGGGTCACTTGTACACACTTTATCATGTTGCGTGGATGCGCCTGTTTCTGGTCGAGGTGGGGGGAGGGGTGGACAGTTCTTTGTACTCTGACATCCTGACTGCTGCTCACATTCAAGGGGAGAGACAGTTTTCCCTCTACCCAAATGGTGCTTACCTGTCATGGTAAAGTCTCGTGTCCCTGGCCATCTCCCTCCCACACTGGGGTTCCCCTTCAGTCTACATGCTGTGACATCCCTCCTGCTCTACAGAAGACAGAGCCATCCAAAGGGAGGTCACCGCTTTTCCTGCCCCAGCCCAGCTGGAGCCAGGCCCACATTGCCCAGGGGCCTGGCAGAGTGGCCCCTCCCTGAGTCCCCGTCCCCTTGTCCATAAAGTTCGTTACAATCGAGCCTGTCTCGTATGGAGGTTGGGATGTTTGCTGCATGTTCATCGTTTCAGTAGATGTGTAGCGAGGGCTGTGAAGTGCCAGCAGTGTAGGCTGAGGGCGCAGCCGTGAGCAGGCAGCGTCCCCTCATGGGGCCTGCACGCCGGGGGAGGGTCCTCCAGCAAACTAGTGCTGCCATTTAATGTCGAGCAGTAATAAGGAACATGAAGAAAAAGAAAGTTCAGTGTAGGGTAAGGGGCAGAGGTTGATGGGTGGTCCTGGAAGCTTTCTCTGAGGAGGCACCAGCTGAGGAGACAGGTGTGCAGGTGCAGAGCCACCCTGCTGGTGCCTGGGGAGCCGGGTGCGGAGGCAGAGCCTCCCTGCTGGTGCCCGGGGAGCCGCGTGCAGGGGCAGAGCCTCCCTGCTGGTGCTCGGGGAGCCGCGTGCGGAGGCAGAGCACTCAGGGAGCTGTGTGCCAGGCGGAGGGAACAGCGCACACCCTTGCCGGGTGAGGAAGAGCCCGGGACCAGCTTCTGAAGTGGAGGGTCAAGGGCAGCGCAGGCCTGGGTAACTTATGAGTGAAGTGTGGTAGGAACCATCTGGTCTTGGGCCTCAGGAAAGGTCATCAGGGCAGGGAGGGGTACACTAGTTCCTGGGACAACTGGCCCACCCAATCCCCAAGCATTCCCACAGGAGGACAGTGCAGCCCCAGAGGGCCTCTGGCTGCCCCTTCCCCACTCAGTCCTAAGGCTGGCTTTCTCCCGCCAGCCTCCCTCCCAGGGCCCACGCTATGGACTGTCCCCTCTTCTCCCTGCAGCTGCCTCCCGAATGATTGCCAACAGCCTGAACCGCGACTCCCCTCCTGGAACTCCCCCTAGGCGGCCAGACACCAGCACCTCTAAGATCTCCATCACCGTGTCCAACAAGATGGCAGCAAAGAGTGCCAAGGCTGCTGGTGAGGGGACTCGGGCAGGTGGTGGGAGGAGCTGGAGGTGAATGTGGGTTGGTAGATGGTATTTGGGGGTCATGTTCCCAGCATTGCAAGTGCCTCATGGCCACCAGGTGTTCAAAGTGTTCAGACTTGGTCAAGTCACTGCAGCTCTGTGGGCCTCACTTCCCATGTCTGAGGATGGGTTGGTGGTACCTACCCAGAGGACAGTCAGAAGCACTTGAGATGGTGTGTTTAAGCAGTGCACTATGGTTCTCACCCAGTGGTAGGTTCAACCTTTTTTTTTTTTTTTAATTCTCACCTGAGGACACTTTTCCATCCTTTATTCAGGTAGAATGGGAGGGAGAGAGAGGAAGAGAGAGAGAAACATCGACGTGAAAGAGACACATCGAGTGGCTGCCACCCGCATGACCAACCAGGGCCGGGGACAAACTGCAACCGAGGTACATGCCCTTAGCGGGAACCGAACCCACGTCTCTCTGGACCGCAGACCAACGCTCTAACCACTGAGCCAAACCGGCCAGGGCGGTTCAGCCTTTTTAACTTTATTTTATTGTGCTAAGAATGCTCAACATGAGACTACCCTCTTAACACAGTCTTAAGCGTACACAGCAGTGTTGTTGACTATAGGTGGTTGTCTCTTTTTTTTGCATTTATCTTCAGATAGAGCAGGAGGGAGAAAGGAAGGAAGAGAGAGAGAGAGGAACATCAATGTGAGAGAGACACATTGACTGGTTGCCACCCACACAACCCTAACCAGGGCCAGGGACAAACCGCAACTGAGGCATGTGCCCTCAGCAGGAACTGAATCCAGGTCCCTCTGGTCCATGGGCTGACGCTCCAACTGCTGAGCCTAACTGGCCAGGGCTTCTTTTTTTTTTTAATCCTCACCAGAGGATATTTTTCCATTGATTTTTTAGATAGAGTGGGGGCTGGGAAGGGGGAGAGAGACAGAGACATTGATGTGAGAGAGATACATAGGTTGGTTGCCTCCCACACAACCCCAACTGGGGCCAGGGATCCAACCTGCAACTGAGGTACATGCCCATGGCTGGGAATCGAACGTGAGAGTCTTGGGCCTGCAGGCTGACGCTCTAACTGATGAGCTAAACCAGCCAGGCGGTTCAGTCTTTTTTAACAGATGCTCACTGAGTCCCGCACTGGTGCCTGGCCCTGTTCTCTCTCAACAGCCACAGGGATCCCTCAGAACCCTTAACCTGATCCTTCACACCCTTGTCTAGAACTCTCCAGGGCTTCCCATTATTCCAGTAATAAAGTCCAGTCCCGGTTGGATTCATCTCTTGGGTCTCTCCCCCTTGCACACTGTCTTGGGCCCCTCCAGGCTCCTTTCCCTTGTGGGGCCTTTGCCCTGGTGCTCCCTTCTGGAGCGTGTTTCCTCCGCAGACTTTTCCATGGTTGACCTCTGTTCCTCTTCTAGGGCTCAGCTTGAAAGCTGGGAATGGGACACTGGCCTTAGGGCTTCCAAACCCTCTCTCTGTCCGCCACTTTCCAGCCTTTGTTGGACCCATCCCACAACAGTGATCTTGGCACAAGTGGAAACTGAGGCCCAGGGAGGGGGCTTTGTTATCTGACCCCCGTCCCATCGTGCCCCGTCCTCCGTCGCACCCTGTATGCTCCCTTTTCGCTATGGGTGTTTCAAAGTGCCTCTGCCCCCTTCTGGCCTTTTGATTTGTGTGCCATGAGTGAGAAAGTTAAAATTAATTTCTAAAGTATTGAAAAGATAGTGAGCCTGGGAGGGACTGGCACTCTTACCCCTCAACACATTTGAGGTGATTCTTTTTTTAATAAATGGTGGTATAAATTCCTTATACACAGATTTTAAGTATACAGCTTGATTGATTTTGTTGTTGTTATTAATCCTGAATTGAGGATATTTTTTTCATTGAATTTTAGAGTGGAAAGGAGGGAGGGAAGGGGAGAGAGAGAGAGAAACATGGATAAGAGAGATACATCAATTGGTTGCCTCCCGCAGCACCCCAACTGGGGCTGGGTATCGAACCTGCAATCCAGGTACGTGCCCTTGACCAGGAATCGAACCTTCAGTGCGTGGGCCAACACTCTAACCACTGAGCCACACCGGCCGGGGCGGCTTGATTAATTTTTGAAAGGTGAGCACACCTGTGAAACCACTACCTGGCTGGAACTCTATAACCTTTCCACCCACCCAAGGTCTGAGGGGAGTCTGGCTGGGCTGGGAGGTGAGCCTGCTTTGGGCAGAGACAGAGCCAAAGAGAACCTGGGAGGCCCACTGTAGCCTGGGAGTTCTGAGTGCCTTCTGCACCCCGTTTTGCCCAGACTGCTGAGTTTCTCAGTGGTTCAGAGTCAGTGGTGATGGGGTAGTTGGGAAGATGAGGGATTTCAGTCATGCAGACGCATGGAGATAAAGGGCACCTGTGTGCCCTCTGCAGGGCGTCTAGTCCCTACCCTGGGAGGACATTCCATCCCAGAAGGTGCTCACCTTCCCCCTCTTCCCCAGCTGCCCTGGCCCGCCGGGAGGAGGAGAGCCTGACTGTTCCCACCAAGCGACGAAGGGTCACTGCTGAGATGGAGGGGAAATACATCATCAACATGCCCAAAGGCACCACCCCCCCGGACCCGCAAGATCCTTGAGCAACAGCAGGCGGCCAAAGGTATGGCCTGGCAGGGGTGTGCGATGGCAAAGGGACTGTGTTTCTCTTTGGTTCACATCTCACTGGCATTGGCCAAGAAGCAGGCTTTAATGGGATCCAGGGCGCCTTTGGCCAAGGAGGCCGTGAGGGTGGCCATAGGGGAGGGGCTAGGTTACCACCTCTGCCCTCGTGTCCTGAGGTTAGTGGTGCAGGCCTGCTCAGTCCCTCCGCTGGTGCTCTTTCCGGAGGGCTTGGGTTTGGTGATGGCCTGCCTGTACAGTGTGTGACCATGCCTGCTGAGGGCAGGGGTCCAAAAAGTGGGAACTGTCATTATGAGCCAGAGGGGTCTGGTTGAGATTCAGTCTTGGGCTGGGGTTTGGATCTGGTAGTGCAGAGATGGTGTTCCATGGACTCTTAGAATATAGTCTATGTTCTTCTCATGGAAAAATGTTCAGGTGATGCAGAAGCATATACAGTAAAGAGAGACTCCCTCACTCCCATCTCCCACACCTGTTGCTGTCCTTTCCAGACAAGCACCCATGAACTTGTTTGCATTTATATATGTCTACACATCTATGGGCGTTTTTTGTCTCTAAATGTGTTCTGTAATTCTCTTATTGAGATCTTTTCACATCGGTGATGTATATCTACCATCAGCCCTCCATATCCTTGGGTTTTGCACCCGTGGACTCAACTAATTGCAGGTTGAAAATATTCGGGGGGAAAAAATCCCAGAAATTTCCGAAAAAGCAAAACTTCAATTTGCCACATGCTGAGTGCTACAGTCAATGCGCGTGAACGAAGAGATGAGTAGGGGTGCCTGCTTCAGCTTCTGTGGGGACAGAGGACATGCAGATGCTGTGCCCTCTTACAGGAGGGGCCTGAGCCGCATGGGCTTGGTACTCATGGGGTCCTAGGACCAGTCCCCTCAGATCCCGAGGGCGGCTAGACTCATTCTTGTTAATGGTTGTTCAGTATTTACACAGTATTTATATAATATAGCTGGTGGCTATTTAGGTTGTTATTTAGAGAGAGGATTTGTTACCATTCATCAGATTCTCTCAGAGGCCCATGACCCCAAAAAGAGTGAGAGGCCCGAGTAGTGGTTAAGAACTCTTCCTGCAGCCCTGGCCGGTTTGGCTCAGCGGTTAGAGCGTCGGCCTGCGGTCCAGAGAGACTCGGGTTCGGTTCCCGCGAAGGGCATGTATCTCAGTTGCAGTTTGTCCCTGGCCCTGGTTGGTCGTGTGGGAGGCAGCCACTCGATGTGTCCCTTTCACGTCGATGTTTCTCTCTCTCTTCTGCTCTCTCCTTCCCACTCTATCTGAACAGAAAATGGAAAAATGTCCTCAGATGAGGATTAAAAAAAACACAAAAACCTAAAAAAAAAAAAGAACTCTTCCTGCACACCCACTTTGTGAACTCGTACTAGGTGCAAGGAACGTGTCAATTTTATTTGTTTATTTTTATTTTCTAGATAGAGTGGAAGGGGGGGGGGACATTCGATGTGAGAGAGACACATTGATTGGTTGTCTCCTGCACTGCCTTGGGGCCCGGGATCGAACCTGCAACTCAGGTACATACTCTTGACCAGAATTGAACCCGAGACCCTTCAGTCCGTGGGCTGACACTCTAACCACTGAGCCAAGTCGGCCAGGGCACATGTGTCAGTTTTAGTGGATTCGTCCCACGTCTGACACTAGCCAGAAGTGGGTGGGTTAAGGTAGTGTTAACCAACAAGCGTAGACAAAACCTAACTGGGCCCAGCCTGTACCTGTTGTACCAGCACTGCCTGGGGACTGGGCTGCTGTGTCGTACCCCCGTGTCTGCACCGTGCTCAGCCAGGTCTGGGTCCCAGGGGCCGCTCAGCAGGTGCTGGATGATGGCCTCACTTCCCTCGCAGGTCTCCACAGGACATCTGTGTTTGACCGCCTCGGCGCCGAGACCAAGGCGGACACAACGACGGGCAATAAAGTGAGTTGGAGATCGGGGAGCCACGTGGGGCTGTCACATTCTCTTTCCTAGGAGGTGTTCCTGACACTTCCCACATCTCACCTCTCGCACACTCTGGGGCCGTCTCACCCACCTGTCCAGCCTGCGTTCCCTTCTTTGCATTGGTGGCTTCCCTGTTTATCGTTGGCTCTCGCCTGGCTGACTCCTGGATGCTGCCCTGTCCCAGACACCCTCAGCATCAGCATCATCCCCCACAGCAACTCCTCTCCTGGGCCTGTCTCGGGGACACCCACACCCTCATTCTAGGCCCTCTCCAGTCTGCTGGCGCCATCTGTCTTGCCTGCTCTGCCACCTCTCCCTGTCTGGGTAGGGCGGTGGCCCCCTAACTGGTCTCAGCGCAGTTGCTGTGAACCCCTCCAGCCCTTCTCCCACAGCAGCAGTGTGTGCCGCCACAGGACAGGCCACCTGCCTCCCCTGGACGCCCTTCGTGGGCTCCCACCGCACCCAGCATGGAGCGGCTCTTCTCGCCTTGGCCTGCGGTCCCGTAGGCCCCAACACAGTGCGTGGTGAGGAGGCAGCCTGGGCCCGCTGCCCGGGGGAATCTGGCTCTGCCACCGCCTGGCTGCATGGCCTTGGCCGTGCCACTTATGCCCTTCCTACCTCAGTTTCCTCATCTGTATAGTACCCACCTCATAGGGAGGGGGTGGTGAGGATCGAGTGAGATGTACCTGCGTGGTGCTGGGGGTGTCTGGGGCGTGGTAAGCACACTTTGAATGTCACCTTTTATGAACTGGGGTGGAGTTAGTTCCCCAGCTGCATTTCCTGCCTCAACCCCACCAGGCCTGGGGGCCTCATTGGCTCTGGCGTTTTCTCATTCCCTAGAATCTTAGCATGAGCTTGGTGATGGCCTCAGGGTCATGTGGCTTGAAGATGCAGCCACGACAAGAACTCCAGCCCTGGCCGGTTTGGCTCAGTGGTTAGAATGTCAGCCCGCGGTCCAGAGAGACTCGGGTTTGGTTCCCGCTAAGGGCACGTACCTTGGTTGCAGTTTGTCCCTGGCCCTGGTTGGTCATGTGGGTGGCAGCCACTCGATGTGTACCTTTCACGTCGATGTTTCTCTCTTTCTCTCTCTCTTCCTCTCTCTCCCTCCCACTCTATCTGAACAAAAACTGGAAAAAAAAGAACTCTGCCCAACGCGAATGCTCCAGTGACTCTTATCTGCCGTGGGGCCTTAGCCCACTGCTTTCTGCTGCTTTAGCCTCAGGGCCTGGCTCCAAAGTTGGTGCCTCCCAAAGCACCCCTGAACTCCATGGAGACAGGCTTCCGTGTAGCCTGCTCTCCAGCACCCCCCCCCCCCCAGAATGCATCGCTGTTGTATCTAGGGCATTACTGTCATTTTCATGCCAGTTCTGTCTTCTCCTCTGGACTGTGAGCCCCCTGAGGGCAAGACCAAGCCTGTCTTGGTCGCCACTCTGTCCCCAGCACCACCCCGCACAGGGCCAGATACAGAGTTCCGACTCAGAAAGTATATGTCGAGTGATGACCAATGTTATCTTTTCTCTCCTGTTCACCTGTAAACCTTAGCTGATGGTCTCACCTCTTCGTGGCACATGCTTCTCCTCCCCTCCTCACTAGACCCACTTCTGGTCAACTCTCAGACCTCACCTCAGATGTCCCTTCTCCAGGGAGCCTTTCCTGAACTCCGCGAGAGGTCAGGAGCCTCCTCTGGGCTCCCCTAGCTCCTGGACTTCTCTGTTGTGGCTCTTGCCACTATCTCTAGGGCGCCACCGACGGGTGTTTCTCCCAGCTGTGAGCTCCATGAGGCCAGGCACATGAGGCAGCTCTCCGTAAATACGTGCTGTGTGACTAAAAGATTCACCTGTCCTGTCTCTGACCTCCACAGCCCACAGGAGTCTTCAGCCGCCTGGGGGCAACCCCGGAGATGGACGAGGATCTGGCTTGGGACAGCGACAATGACAGCAGCAGTTCTGTCCTACAGTATGCTGGGGTGCTGAAGAAGCTAGGTCGGGGCCCAGCCAAGGCCAGTCCCCAGCCGGTGCTGACTGTCAAAGCCAAGGCCACAAGCTCAGCGACGACGGCCGACACTCCGACGCTGCGGCGGCTGACCCTGTCTTCCCGCCCAGGGCTCGAGAGAAAGCCAGAGTCCCTGTCCAAAGTCAGCATCATCCAGAGACTGGGCAAGGCTGCCCTTGTGCCTGAGGCCCAGGACAGCCAGGTCACAAGCACCAAGAGTAAGTCATCAGCCAAGGTCAAGGTCACCATTAAGAGGACTCTGGGGCCCCGGGGTAGCAGCTCCAGCGAGGGCCTCGGCGCCCAGATGGACCACGCAGGCACTGTGAGCGTGTTCAAAAGACTGGGCCGCAGGACCTTCTAGCTCACGAGTGGGCACAGGCCCCTTTCCGGCTCTTGGCTCCGTCAGCCTTTGGCGAGAGCACGCCCACCCTCGAATGGCACTGCTGGTCTCCTCGGGCATTCAGGCCGGGCCGAGCTTGTGGGGATGCGTCCCGTTTTACTGAGTCCGAGATGGCCGCTCTGGCCTGGCCTTGCCACTCCGGGACTTTCCCTTCTCTCATGTCCTCTGCTCTGTGCTCTCTGACTGTGGCCTTGGCAGGGCCCCCGTTTCTACCTCTCCCAAGTGCCAGGTGCCCTTTTGCTCTCCTCCATCCCCGTCCTTCCCTCTCATTGGCATCCACTGCCTCAAACCCCAGCTCCTCGGCCTCCCGGTCCCCCAAAGTGGGTGTCTGGGTGTCGCCTGGAGGGTCTCCCTTATCCCCCCACTCTGCCAGCCACTTCCTGACTTCCCTCCCCTCAGTCCTCTGCCCCCCAACTTTTACTGCTTTAAGTTCTGTCTCTCCCTCTCTTCACTCTGTTCATTTCTCTTCTGTTTTCTGTCCCTGTGGCAAGGCCCGACTGTCCGCTGCGTCCTGCCTGACCCTCCTGCACCTCCGGCCTCCCAGCGGCCCCCTCGTCGGCAGTGGCGTCGAGCCTGTAGAGACTGTTAGCAGCCTCACTCCCAGGCTGGAGGGACCTCCCAGACCCTGGGCTACAGCTGGGGCACGTCCGTCTTCCTGCCCTGGGCAGCTTTTTCTCTGAAAGGCTGTGGCGGGTGGTGGGCAAGGGGCACTGGGAAGGGAGGCAAGTACCAAGAGAGAAGAAAACAGCTGTTTTAATATATTTTTGTGACTTTCAAATGTTTGCCTCCCCTCCTTCAAGGTGAGTCTCAGGATTGTTTTTCACACACAGCACAAAGTTCCGGGGGGGCGTGGGCAGTGGGGGGTGGGGCTCAGCCCCTGCAGGTCAGGCCCCCTGCGCACAGCCGGCATGTCTGCTGCAGGCCCTGAGTCCAAGGGAGTCCAAGTCACGGTCACTGTTTAGCTGGGCCTCCTCCTCCCCTCAACAGACTGTCTGGGTTCTGTCACTCTGCCCTCCCCCTCCCTACATTTCAGTTGTTTCTGTCACTCTGTTGGTGGCTCTCCAAACTGCAGGCTCCATTTGAAGGCGAGGAGTTCCCCTGGGTTTGAATTTTACCTACTTGCTGCTCTGCAGCCCCTACTCTGTGCCAGGCCTGTTCTGGGAGCTGGGACCCCTCCGTGAGCAAGAGACAGGCCCCTGCCCATGTTGCTGACTGCTCTAGCCAGGGAGACTGTCCACAGGATTGAGGGATGAGTGAAAGTGACAGGGCCTCTTTAGATGTAGGGAAGAAGGCCTTTCGGGGGAGGTGACAGGCTGAGGTGGGAATGAGAGACAGCAGCTACGTGAAGGTGTGAAGTTCGGGAGAGTGTTCAGGCAGAGCTAACAGTGGTGGAGGCCTGACGTGGGACAAGAAGTGCGGAGAAGGCCAGTGTGGCTGGCACGGAGTGAGGCCTGCCCTCCAGCACAGGTGGAGCAGCGGGGCCACAAGCAGATACCTGGGGCCCTGGGGCCCAGGGGGAGGAATTTGGACGTCACCCTCAGAGCACTGAGGAGTTTGGGAGGGTTTGAGGCAAGCAGAAATGATCTGCGTTGCCTTTTAAAAAAAATTTTTTTTAGAGAGAGAGAAAGGAAGGGAGAGGGAGAGACAGAAACATCAATGAGAGGGAACATCAGTTGGCCGCCTCCTGCATGCCCCCTACTGGGGATCGGGCCCACAACCTGGGCATGTGCCCTGACTGGGAATTGAACCAGCGACCTCTTGGTGCATGGGTCAATGCTCAACCACTGAGCTACACTGGCTGGGCAGATCTGCGTTGCCGTATATGAAGAAGGCTGTAGCCCTGGGAGAGGGTCAGTTGCCAAAAGGGTAGGGGTGGAACAGGGAGGCAGTGGCTATGGAGAATGGGAGGTTGGCAGTGGGGAGGACAGACATGGGTGGCCCTGGGTATACTCCAGAGGAGCAGCAGGGTGCTCTAAGATGGAGGTGAGGGGAAGGAGGGAGCATGGATCACCACTGGATGGGAGACAGGCATCTAGCGGAAGGTGCTGTTTGTGAAGCCAGGAGGCCAGGGAGGGAGAGCAGGTGGATGGCAGGGCACTCAGCGTTCTCCACATTGACAGAGGTAAGCAGGCCGCGGGAGCTCGGCCACCTGGGCTGGAGTCAGCAGCTTCGGGGGATGCTGAGGGTACTGCTGTGTTCCAAGCGGAGGGCCTGGCAAACCAGCTGCAAAGGAGCTTAGAGAGCACCCAGAAGGGGCTTTGGGGCCCTTTTCCCGTTTAGGGAACAGATCTGATAAGGGGATCACCAAGGAGTGGTGGGGTGTTTGGAAGAGGACGTAGAGTAGGTGAAGATGAGATTAGACCTCACCTCTTTTTTTTTTTTCCTTTATCCTCACCTGAGGACATTTTTGCATTTATCTTTAGATAGAGCAGAAGGGAGAGGGGGAGGAAGAGAGAGGGAGAAATATCGATGTGACAGAGATACATCAAGTGGCTGCCACCCACAGGAACTCAGCCAGAGCCAAGGACAAGCTGCAACTGAGGTACGTGCCCCTGGCAGTAATCGAACCCGGGACTCTCTGGTCCACAGGCTGACGTTCTAACCGCTGAGCCAAACCGGCCAGGGCTCACCCATTTTTTAAATTGGGATAAAATATACATAACATAAAATTTTCCATGTTAACCATTTTTTAATTTTTTTTTTTTCCCCCTTTGGAGAGGTAGAGAGAGAGAGATTGATGTGAGAGAGAAAGAAACATTGATTGGTTGCCTCCCTGACTGGGGACCAAACCCACAATCTGGGTTGTGCCCTGACCGTAGTAGTCAAACCTGTGACCTTGACTGTGGTGTGCAGGACGGTGCTCCAACCAGCCGAGCCACACCGCCGGGCCATTTTAACCATTTTTATTTTGTTTATTTATTTAAAAAACATTTTTTTTCTTTTTCTTTATTGATTTTAGAGAGAGAGGAAGGGAGAGAGAGAGAGAGAGACATAGAAACAGTGACGAGCAAGAACATCGATTGACTGCCTCCTACATGCCCCCCAACTGGGGATCGGGCCCACAACCTGGGCACGTGCCCTGACTGGGAATTAAACCGACAACCTCTTGGTGCAAGAGTCGACACTCAACCATTGAGCCACACCAGTCGGGCATCTTAACCATTTTTAAACGTGCTGTTCAGTGACATTAAATACATTCACATTGTTTAACCAACACCACCATCCATTTCCAGACCCGGTTTTGTTTTTCCAAACTGGTCATCCATTTATTTTTAGTTGCTTTTTTATAATGTCATATGGCGAGGCTACTGTGTGTGAGGCAGTGTCCCAAGCACTGGGCCCAGGCTGTGAAGGGCTAGATTTCAGTATGGGGGTGGAGAGAACAGCCATAGAACCCTCTCCTGGGGAGGGCCCAGGCTCGACCCTCAAGGGACAGAGGTTGGACCTCAGAAGGACAGCAAGTGATGGTGATATCAAGATCGCAGAGTCCGCCCTCGTCCCAGCCACAAGGAGGAGCTCACACACACACACTCTGCTCTCAGCCCCCTCCGCCCAGCCATTTCTTCTGGTTCCACTTCGTGGATAATTTTAGCAACTGCCAAGGTTAATTGGAAGTGTTTCAGTTACTAAATTTAAGGGCACAGGGTAATTTCTTGATGTGTAACAGGAACTATGATGATACAAACACATGTACAGCTCACTTACCACGAAAGGCTTGCCTGCACGGGTAAGTCGTGTCACTGCTCTGTACAGAGGCTGAGCGAAGTAGGCTGGGGAAGGCCTCACCCAGCCAGCAAGGGACAGGACTGGGCTGGATGTCCGAGCTGACCGAGGTCCTGGCCCCTTGTCCCCTACCCTGTGCTGCCTCGCGTGCAGATACGAAACGGTCCTTTTGGAAAGGGGAATGGCGGTCCTAGGAGAGGGGTTTGGGATTTTCTAAAGTTATCCATGTTCCTCACCCGATCAGCTTGCCCTCAAGGGTTTGCAGCTCTGGAATGCCATTGGCCTTGAGAGGCATGCCCTGTCCCGCCACCCTTGGTCAGAGGACCCGGACTGGATGCCTCCTCTGCCTCCAGCCACTCTAGAGCCCCAGTGTCTCACCTGTTTCATTTGGTGGCTGCCACCCAACCAAGCCCAACAGCTGTGACCTACAGGGATGCATGACTTTTCCTCTGGTTCTCTTAAATATTTTTGAGCATAAATAATACACACACGATTCAAAATGCAAAAGATACAAAAGGCTTTACAGTGAAAAGTTTCCTCCTGAGTCTTCTGGCCCCCAAGTCCTCTCCTCAGAGGTCACCAATGTCTTGGTGATCCAGCCAGAGATGTGTGTGCGCGCCAGCATGCGCACACATGCATACAAGCAGAGGAACGTATACACACATACAAGCGCCACGTTTTTTTCCCCTTTAGATAGAGTGGAAGGGGAGGAGGGAGAGAGAGACAAACATCCAAGTGAGAGAGACACATTGACTTGTTGCCTCCCACAACCCGCAACCCAGGTACGTGACGTTGACCGGAATCGAACCCTCGACCCTTCAGTTCATGGGCCGATGATCTAACTGCTGCGCCAAACTGGCCAGGGCAAGCACCACATCTTAATGCCTAACTTACTGAACCAGCCCTTTCTGGAAGGGGATTCAAGTTGCTTCCAGTCTCTTGCTATTATGAGGAATGCCACCATGAATAACCTTGTTCTCACGTGGGGTCCATTCAGTGGTGAACTTGAAGAGTTCTAATGATAGCACTTCAGCGCAACTACTGGTATTGGGTGAATAGCAAATCTGAACTAGGCTCTCCCCCAAGACTATTGGCATTCTTCAGATGATTTATACATGTATCACCCCCCTCCCCAAAGGAATTAGGAGCAGTTGGACTCGTCTAATTGGAGAGTGCTGGAGGAATCGGGGCAGAGGATGCCAAGAGCTAACATTGTCTTCTGCCAGAAGGTACTAAAATGCTTTGCTAAGGTGATGGGGTTGTTGACTCCTCAGAGCCAGGGGATCACCATGAAAGTCAGGGATGCCCTATTCTCATCTTGTAAGCAGACATGGAAGTGGAGGGGCAGTGAGCCCATGGCTCAGGCTGAATCACAAAGCCCGATCTGAGCCAGCCCAGGCGGATGATTCTCTTTGAATGTGGTCTTTGGATGAGGCCCCCTCCAGACACACCTCTCCTAGAAGCTCCCACCGGTGGATGAACAGCAAGATGGAAACCTACAGTACTTGGGGCAGCTGCCAAGGTCTCGGCCAGCTCCACCACTCTTCCTCCATTGCCTGAGCCTGGTGCTGTGAGATGGGCCATGAGATGGGTCACAGTGACCTTGACCCCTTTGGGATCTGAGCTGACTTTTGGTGAGCACTCCTCCTATAGACCTAACTCTGAAGGCCTGATCTTTGCCTACACTGAACTTGACCTAACCTGTGAACTCCAAAACAGGCCTTCGCAAACTTCATCAAACAGGAACAGACTTTATT